ATGTCTTCTTGGCAGATGCCTCACAGCTCTGACATCACGAATATTTTCTTGGGGTCTCCATTGCCAACCAGGCTTCACCTTCAGGGCTTCACACAATGGCCTTTTAGGGCCTTATTTATGCAGGAAAACCCCTGCTGTATGCTGCCTGACTACTGCAGGGACTCTCTGAAACTACAGAGGAAGAACTGATGACCCCTTCACTCTTGTGTTTCTTATGCCTCTAAAGCCATCCAGTTTGACTGCAAATTTGGGATGGACCCCAGCCTGCTTTATCCACTTTAGAAGCTTTGCTCTTCAGTGGTCCCTGAAGCATTTTCCTTTCACAAGTTGGAGGCTTAACTGGGTATAGTCTTTCTCTGTTTAAGTGCAAATCTCTAGGCCTTTTCTTAATCACTTTAATCTCTTTATCAAAGGGATCCTCTCCAGAATATGTCCTGGCTCCAACATTTATCTTCTTAGTGCTCTTTTTCCATCCAAACTGCACATTTTGTATTTCTTTCAGCCCCATTTGTTCTTTTTTACTGTAAATCTGTATAATACTCACCATTAATAGCCATGCCACCATTTCTATGTTATGTTGTCTTGAAATTTCTCCCACCAGAGAAATTAGTCCATGGCATTTCCCTCTTAGCCTCAGGCAAGCTTTTTGGCTGTGGGCAGACTCCAGCCAGACTCTTTGCCAAAACATCCCAACTGCTGCTGAAGTCCTTATTTCCCTCTGGAATTGGCATTGTTCTCAGCACTATTTTCTTGCAGGTGCTTATTAGAATGACTTGTTAAACTCTGCTTACAGCAAACAACTGCTTTTCTAGCCCAAATTTCCAGTCTTCCATATTCCAAAACCCCACATGGTTAGGTTCTTCACAATCAACACCCCACTCCTAGTACCAGTTACTGTATTAGTTACTTTTCTGTTGCCGTGATAGAAACACTGACCAAAGTAACTTATAAAAGGAAGAGTTTATTTGAGCTTACAGTTCCAGGGGAATTATAGTCCACCTTGGTCGGGAGGCATGGTGGCAGAGGTGACTGGAGGAAGAACAGAAGCTAAGCTCTCACATCCTCAAGCAGGCACAGGAAGCAAGAGAGAAACTTGAGATCTGGCAAGACTTAAGAACTCTCTAAGTCCACCCCCTGTGATGTGCTTCCTCCAGGATAGCTACACCTTCTAAGACCTTCCAAAACAACGCCACCAGCTGGGGACTAAAATGTCCAAATACTTGGAGCCTATAGGGGACATTTTCATTCAAACCACCACAGGAACTTTCAGAATTGTAGACCCAAAGATCCAGGGGAACATCTGTGCTTAGGCTTGAAGAATGGACTGTTACATGGAGATGGGACTGGACAGGGTGGCAGGTGTGGGATGGGGTGGTGGTGTTTAATGATACTAGGCTAAGGGGAAACCCAGCCAGGTCTCACTATTCAGGTACTTCTTGGCCTTTCTGTAGCATTCTTTCCTTCAGGGTGTGAGGCAGGACTCCTCTGGAGTGAAGACTGAGAAGGGAGAGAATGACTTTTCTGGGTTTTATGGGTTGACTTGGGGGAGAAGGAGGAGCAGGAGACAGATGGGAAAAGCACAGTGATTCTTGCTTCTGAGCCCTTCCAGTGTCCTTTATTTCAAAACACTTAGTAACATGTTCTCAGCTCTCAGGTCCCTAAAGCTCACTTGACTGGATTTTGAGTGCTACATGAACAGTACTTTTCTCTTGGCTGCACTGGACCTAGCTCCCCTGCTTGCTGTGGGAAGCCAGCTGGCATTCTTACCAGCATTCCTTTCTTTAGGGATCATCTTCTTTCTTCTTGGGCTTTCTTAAATAAATTTCATTTTTAGGGTTTGTTCTTTCACTGTGATATGTCTCTGTAGGCATTTTTTAAAACCTGGTTTGGGTTTTGGAGTTTTCATGGTGAGACGTAGTGCTCTGCCATCCTGCTTGAGCAGACCCTCTCTCATTCTCTTCTTGCTTCCCTTCTGGGCTCTTAGTACTTACTCTGCCATCAAGGCTCATAAGCACTCATCTTCCCCATGTTTAGGTTTTCTGTGCTGCGTTCTGTGTTTTTTTTTGTTATTAGATCCACTTCAATTTCCCCAGGTCTCTCTTACCCTTCTTATCTTCTGTAGTTTGACTTGTCTGCCAAACATAAACCTTCAGTTGTGACCATTTTTAGAGGCTTCACTAGCATTGTTTGAAGATCAATTTGATTAGTTTTGGCAGTTACTACCTTAGTCAAGCTTTTACTAACCTCAGTTTATTAAGCATACTTATTTTATGCTTGATAATTTCTGTATATTCAGGTTTGAGATTGTTTTAATGAGTCAATTACTTTGAATTGCCTGTGAGAACTTGACCCAGTTATTTTTGAAATCTTTATTATTCCATATAAATTTTAAGATAACATTTTTTTTTTTTTTAATTTAGGGCCTTCCCATAGCTACCAGTGGCCTGGAATTTACTGTGTAGACCAGGCTGGCCTCAGTTTCACAAAGATCCACCTGCATCTGCCTCCCCAGTCCTGAGATTAAAGGTGTGCACTTTTAGGTTTCAGCTGAAACCCTGTTTTAAGGCGTGTACTTCTGCTTATACCAGGGAAACGTGGGATCGCTTGTAGGGAAAATTTAAGCATAGAATATTTTGTTTATATGTGTAATATAAATCTAACTCCAAATCTTCACTGTGGTAGCTTTATGATTAGGAATTTTCAGGGAAATTCCCTCCCACCCTGTATCCAGGGTCAAAGATAACACCTTTGTAAATATTGCCACCATTTCTTTCTGTGTAGCTGCTCCCCCCACCCCCTTGCCCACTGAGGATTTTGTTTTCAGGGAGGCCTGGCTTGCTTCAGGAATCTCAAAATTGCTCTCTTTGCATCAGCACCCAAGGTTTGTCTCCAGCATGAACTGGGGTGATATAGAGGGTGGCACAGTGTCAGCACTTCTCCTCCTTGGTTTATGACTTTTATTCCTTTTTGCCCAAGATTTCTTCCCAAGATTTCTTAGCTTAGCTGTTTAGAATATTAAATAAATATTGATCTAGCACTTTTAGGTATTGTATCCTGTGGTTCTCTAAAAATGTGTGGTGTGCTGTGTGGATAGAAAATGGCATTCTGGCTGGAGGGGTGGTTAAGAACACTTGCTGCTCAATTGTGTGGACTGGAGTTCATATCCCAGCACTTATTTCGGGTGACTCGGAAACACCTGTATCTCCATGTTCAAGGGATCTGACACCCATTTCTGACTTCCATTGGCATTCACATATACATGTACATATGCACCTACACAGACACATGCACAAACATAAAATAAGATCTCTTTAAAAATAGCAGTCTTAAGTAGCTTATTTTATTTATTGTTCATATGTGCAGAAGTGAAGACTTAGAATTAGGAACCTAAATTCTAATAGGTTTTTAATAATTATGGCAAAAGGTCGGTCTTTCTCCAGAGCTGTACTTGGCTTGAGGTGACTGAGTATCTTGCAGCTAAGAAATACTAGATCCCACAGCTGGGCAGAGATTTAGTTAACATCTACAAATAGAACTTGTGTGGATAATGTCTGTTAGATGAGATTGTATTTCTGAACATTGCTGTCACATGCATCCATGATTTCAAATGTGTTAGATTACAACTCTGGGCCAATCTTCATCTTTATCTATTTATTTATTATATTGAATACTTCATTTATTAAAGCAGAAAAACATTGAGAGTAAGGTTTTAGCTAGTGATTCCCACACACTTTATTCATTAACTCTCTCTCTCTCATTCTCTCTCTCTCTCTCACACACACACACACACACACACACACACACACACACAGATGTCTTACTATGTAGCCCAGGGTGGCCTCAAACACAATCCTCCAGAGCCAACCTCCTGAGTGCTAGGATTTCAGACAGTTTTTGTTTTGTTCTTTTGAGATATCCTGGTCTGAAACTCACTATATAGGTCAGTCCAGCCTTAACTTGGAGTCGTTTCCTGCCTCCCAAGGCTTGGGATTATAGACATAGGCTACCACACCTGGTTCCTGCCAACTTTTTTTTAACTTTAAAAAGTAGTAGTGCTGGTTGTGATGGTGCATGCCTTTAATTTCAACACCTGGGAGGCAGAGGCAGGCAGATCTCTGTGATTTGGAGACCGGTCTGGTCTACATAGTGAGACCTTGTTTTAAAAGAAGCAAACAAACAAGTTAGTATATGAAATGTCTTTTGGGGGAAGGAAATAATAGAGAAGTATAGAAAATGTCTTTGATATCAATTTGCCATGACTTTCCAACTTTTTTTTTCTGGGTATGTAAAAAATCATAATGCTCCATGCTTTATTTCATTCAGTATTTTAAAGTTTCTTCTACAACTCTAACATTCCCCTTGATGTTTGACCATATGTATGTATAGTATTTTACCGATTCCCCATGGATGGGCTTGGAGTCTGCCTACTTTCTGATGCTGCAACCACCTTTAAGTGTTGCTGATCTTCCTAGTCAAAGTGGAGTTGTTACTGAGGTTGTAGCAACAGTTTTCCAGTGTACTTTTTTTTCCCCCACTGACATGTATTGCAAGCTTCATTATAATTAATCAATTCATTCTTTTGTTCTTATGTTCTTTTGTTTTCTCTTGAGAGGGTCTCATTATATTGCTCTGGCTGGTTCTGAACTCCTGGGCTCCTGCCTTAGTCTCCCAAGTAGCTGAAATGATGAGCAGATGCCCCCATACCATACTATTCTGTATAGTCTGATGGTGCCTGTATTATTCTGTAAAGAAATACTTTGAACAATTTTTTGTGAGATGGCATAGTGTTAAGGATAGCAGCCAGACTGTAGAACTGAGAAGTGAATGTACATGGGAAAGAGAGAGAACTCAAGCAGCTCTTTACCACACATGTGACTATGAGAGGGCAAGAGAGAAAGGGGACAGTTCTTGGGATTTTGCTTTCCATTAATATGACACCTTCTGTAATACATTAAAGTTGGGTCTCTGTTATATAATGTATCCTTTCTTAACCTTTCTAGCCTCCACCAGGCAGTGTGAAAATGCCTAATGTACCCAATACACAGCCAGCAATAATGAAACCAACAGAGGAACACCCAGCTTATACACAGATCGCAAAGGTTAGTTCATGTTAACTGTGTAGATTGATGTGGGAAGTTACAATATCAACATTTATTTTCATAATGAAATAATCCTTTATGCTGTTGCATTCTTTATTTTTTCAATCACTTAAGCCAGGATTAGCTATCTTGTCACCTTATAAATCCTCATAACCTCTTTGCCAGCCTCTTAACATTTACTCTTTTCCATTATTGAGTAAATTACTGCATTCATATATCATCTTGGTGCACAGTTTGCATAGTGAAATTTTATTGCCTTTGGTCTCAATTTTTAATGCATAATGCCAATACAGTTACAATAATAGAATAATATTACTGGGAGAGAGGTTAATGACTAATCAATGGACAATATGAGGAAGTAGAAGATGGCAAGTATCCAGAAAACAGGCAAATAAATGCCTGGCATCACATGGACAGATGGAGTTACAGAGCAGGGTATCTTAAGTATGTACTTCTTTGCCCCCAGAATCTTATGACATTTAAGATATTGTGAATTATTCTTGCATTCGTGGAGCCTTATTTTATCATTTGATCCCCCATTTATCAAGGATAATTCAATGTTTTTTTATTCTGTTAGCCATTTTCCTCAACTGCTTCCCTTGCCTCTGTTCTCACTCTCATTTAGGCACAGTGGTCACATCAATTCCAAATTACCTACACTCTGGCCTCGCTTTTAGCAGCTACCTTTTAAAAAATTAGTTAATTAATTTTTATCTTATGTGTATGGTGGTTTGCCTGCATGTATGTAAATACACCTGTGTTGTGCAGTGCTTGTGAAGGCTAGAAGAAGGCATCATATCCCCATGAACTGGAGTTATCTGCCATGTGCCAGATGCTGGGAACTGAACCTGGGTTCTCTGCAAGAGCAGCCAGTGATGAACCATATCTCCAGCCCCCTCTAACTTCTCTTTTTTTCTTCTTTTTTTTTTAAAAAGATTTACTTTTATTATTTTTAATTATGGGTACTTATGTGTATCTGTGTATGGGTACATACAAGTAAGTACAAGTGCCTGTGGAGACCAGAGGTGGCAGATTTCCCTGGAGCAGGAGTTATGGGCAGTTGTGAACTTCTGTCTGGAAGCTGAACTTGGATCCTCTGCAAAAGCAATATGTGTACCCCCTCCTTTATTTTTTGTTTTGCTTTTTTTGTGGGATAGGGTCTCCCTATAGGACTCACTATTTAGACCAGGCTGGCCTCAGTCTCACAGAGATCTACCTGCCTCTGCCTCCCTAGTGCTAGGATTAAAGGTGTATATCATCGTGCCCTACAGGGCTCCTCTTTTTTTTTTTTTTCTTTTTTTAGGTGTTGATTAATTTTAATGAATTAAGCTAAATACAGAAGTGTCTTATTGTCAAGGTACTCATTTGACATAGGGTATCCAAGTCTTTGTTATCTTTAGCATGATTTCAGTAAAATGCTGAGGACTTGCTGTGGAATGAGTTGGTTGTCCGTGGTTATTGCAGATATATTGAAGATCTTTTCTGTGTAATTGGCTATGTCCATCGGCCCATCTGACTTTGAACTTTGTTGTAACCCAGTACATAGCAACAGTTGGTACAACTTCTCTAAACATATTCAAAACAGAGGATCAGTATCTATGAATAAATGCATTTAGGTACCCAATTTTTAATGAGAGGTTTTTTTTTTTTTTGCTCCTGTGGACTCAACATTGCCACTGATTTCCATAACCAAAAGAGCAAAATGAACCAAATATCTCCATAATATTTATCCAAATCTACAGTCTTCGATGAATTCCTGTATTTTAAAAGTACATTTGACTTAGGTCTCTCTCATGGTAGAGAGAAGTAGGCATATAAATGTTAGAGTATTTTGACTTCTGATAACCTATTTGTGTGTTGATTATTTTTGTTCAGGAGCATGCCTTGGCTCAAGCTGAACTTCTTAAGCGCCAAGAAGAACTAGAAAGAAAAGCTGCAGAGTTAGATCGCCGAGAACGAGAAATGCAGAACCTCAGTCAACATGGTAGTATCCATAGAAGGAATGAGAATGTCTGTCCTCCCTTCTAGGTCGTTTGGTTTGGGGCTAAAACTCTGCCCTGTTTTCTGTCTAGCAAGGAGGTCAGGCACAGGAGATTGCTTATTTGATACCCATGGCTCCGATCTTGGTGGATAGTTGTAGTCTTTTGATAGATTAGAAGGACACTGGCTTCCTCACAGAGAAAGTGAGACACAAATCTGATAACTTTGGCTCATTCCAAGCGAGGGAGCCTTTGATTCTGCCCTTGGCTCTCTCTGGCAGTATTGAATCGTTTCTTTTATCTCATGAAGCAGAGTTGGAGCTTTATAAAAATATTTTAATATAGGCTTAAGCATGCGCTTAGGAGAAAGAGAGGCCCTCAGAAGAAATAAGACAAGCCTGAGAAGGTGGGTATGGGCTTTTCAAAAAAGAGGTGCCTGGCTCTGTTGAGTCTTTGAGTACACTTGAGTTTCCCCTACCTTTACCGCCTACCTGTTCTTACTCAGACTGGCTTCAGATGGCCAGTCTTATCCTTACAAATACATCATATTTGTCAAAAACTATTAGGAAAATGTGGTGACCCTTGGAAGCCCAGGATATTTATATGCTATGAAGCCCAGGATATTTATATGCTGTGAAGTCTGTTCAGGCTGTGACTACTGAAGACCATTCTAAGGGAACATCTTAGGGAAAGTTAGCTGCCTCAGAATAAGGGTATGAGAGCCAGGAAGGCAGTGTTAAGATGGCCAGAATAGTGATAGAATCCCAAGGCGAGGACAGCAATAATAACACCAAATATTTCTTCCTTATCTTACAATATGAAGGCCTAGGGCCTCACGAGGAGTGTTTATCCTGGGTCATTTTCATGCATGCAGCATCAAAGACAGCCTCTATAGGAGATACTAAAGGTTTAATTGGGATCAGCATTTCTTAAATACCTATAACTATAATGTCCCATTTTCTTAGTGCTGACTAATATTAATTATTTCTATGAGAGGCATGTTAGTAAAGTAGTAACAGAGGTTCACAGTTAAATGTTGTATCATATTATTATATTTTAGTGCTTTCTGTTAGTTCCTACTTGATCTTAAGTACCATCCTGTGAAGCATAGCCCAGTTGTTAACTTTTTGAAGAAACTAAGGTTATTTTGCCAAGATCACCCAGCCAGTAAATGGCTGGGACTTCTGGTTCTACAGCCTCTGTTCCTGAGTTCTATTTTCAGTTACCTCTTAAATAGTATGATGTACTGTGTGCGTGTGTGACCCTGAGGATCAAATCCAGGGCCTTGCTGTGCTAGGCAAGTGCTCTACCACTGAGCTATTTCCCTAGTTCCCTGATTTTAATACTATAATCAGTATAACACAGGAGACATGTTGAGGAAGTGAGGGAGAGGTCGCACTTTTTTCCACTATGAAAAAATGTCCTGATATATAAGTAGTGTGTACCACTGAATTTTAAAAGTGCGGGGTATAATATTTCATGGTAGTGGCTTTTACTTGTTACTTTTTACTTGTTTCTTGCCTGACTCTGTGCTTTATTTTTGATGTTTAGTCTTGCCCTCATTCCCTAAGTCTTACTTTCAGTCTTATTTCCTTATACAGACTCATTTCTCTCCTCATGCTTCAGATTTGTCTTTCTCTCGGTTCTGAAGCTGCCAGAATCCCTTCACCTCTTTTACTTAGATTGTTTGTTTTCTCAACTTTGTGATTTTTCTAGATGCATCTTTTTTTTTCTGTCTTTGAGGTTTCCAAATTTAATCCTTTGGTATTGGACTTGCATTATTGAAAAGCTGGTCTTCCTCTGCACACTTCCCTCCACATTTATTAGGAATTACAGAAGACTTACATTGAAAGACTTAGGGCACTGAGGAGAAAATAGAAGTTTAAGAATTGGGTGACCTTCCTCATAACAGCCTGGCTGTTGGGACTTTGACATAAATCTGTTTTTAGGCAGAGTCTTCGGGTATGGGTCTGGGTTCTCCTGTACGTAAACATATGATAGGACAGTGGAAAATTATTTTACCATCTGTTGTTTTCTAAAATGGTATTCTGGGAGAAGAATGTAGAGCTTGATTTTCAAAGTTGTAAGAATGTAGAGAAATAGTGTTACGGTTTTATTGACATCTTATCCAAAATGATAAGGTTCTAGGGGGTAGAGAGATGTCTCAGCAGTTAAGAGCACTTGCTGTCTTCCATAGAACTTAAATTTGGGTCCCAGCACTCAGGTCAGGAGGCTTATAACTGCCTGTAACTCCAACTCCAGGTGATCTGAGGGTCCTCTTGGGGCCTCCTCAAACACCAGCACACACATGGCATACACTCCTACAGACTCAGAACCATATACATAAATAAAATAATCTTTAAAAAGCAAGATTTTTTAGTTTGAACCAAAAATAAGAATAGACTATATTTGTTACAATAACTTTTGTTTTTAACTTACAGGGAGAAAAAATAATTGGCCACCTCTTCCTAGCAATTTTCCTGTGGGACCTTGTTTCTATCAAGATTTTTCTGTAGACATTCCTGTAGAATTCCAAAAGACAGTAAAGCTTATGTACTACTTATGGATGTGTGAGTATAGAACAAATTACATATGTGTATATGTTCTTATACATATATTTGGAGTTTATATTTTCTCTACCTTTTGGGGAAGTGATATATTAAAGATAGTATGTTAAACATCTCTTAATAATCATAATTGTCAGAGTACACCATCATTTAAATACATAAAAATTGTAAAATAAGATGATAATCTAAGACCTTGGCTGAGGAAAATCTGAGGAACATCTACACATTGAGAACCAGCATTTATTGATTGATTGTCACATGGGTAGGATTTTGTAATGATCTTTTTTCCTTGAAGAATGTTATCCTGTGTGACTGGCTTTGGCAACATTATTCATACTATTTTTATACAAAAGAATATTATTTAAATTCTTCTAAATGTAGGCATTATGGCTGATTTTAAAAAGAGTCAGAAGATATTGTAATATGAACTGAAAATTTAAAAATGTACATTAAGGGTTTTTTTTTTTTTTTTTTTTTTTTTTGGTATTTTTGAGACAGGGTCTCCCTAGGGCCCCACCTGGCCTGGAACTCACTATGTAGCAGGCTGGCCTTGAACTCACAGAGATCCATCTGCCTCTGCCTCCTAGGTGCTGGGATTAAAGGCGTGCACAACCATGCCTGGCTATACTTTGATTCTTAAAAGTACTTAATATAGGACAGTTTTATTCTACAGAACATTAGAGCATACATTTTAAGCTGGGATGTGCACACTGTTTTGAGTATGATTTATAACTCCTTAAATACTAAAATGAAATGTCAAGCTGTTAATGGATTGCTTTATGTACACAGTCTTTCCAGTTAGTCTCTGTTTGATTTTTAGTCCAAATAGTCTCAGCCTTATTTGATGCCATTCTGTCAGTAGGGGAACTAGCAGTTGTGACTTCTTCTCTGCTGGACAGATGGGGCAATGGGTAATCTGTAGGGAGGTCTTACTGAAGGAAATTTGTGTGTTTTTTCCTTTATAAATGAGACGTCTATGTTTTCTGTAAATAGATGCAATAATTTTCTTAAAACCCTTTTAGGTACATTCTTCATGTAGATAAAGGTAGCTTGGCATATGAGAGGCAAATCCTTATGAATATTACTTTTTAAACTCATAGTTTATTGAGATTTTGGTGTTGGTCTAATATCTTTCTGAATCCCCAGTGTCAGTGGAATATATATATATTTAATACTTGTTATAATTCCATATATATGCATGCTAACCAACTCCTGTTTTATTTAATCAATATATCTCTACATATCATAAATGCATTTGTATTTTATGTATATATATTTTAAAAATAGGCAAAGTCGGTTTAGCATTTTAGTCATAAGTTATTTGACCTAATTAAAAATATTTTTATGGTAAAGGGGTTGGAAGACAATTCTATAAGGAATTTAGTTGGTAGAGATTGAATGAGGAAAATGGTTAATTTTAATTAGATTAACAACTAATGCTGACGGTTTCAAAATAGGTTTAATTTTAAGAATGTAATTTTCAGAGTCTCTCAGGAATAATTCAGTTGAGTGTAGTTTTTCTCACACTTGTTTAGTTAGCGGATCTGGTTTGAAAAAGGGTTCAAGATTTCAGTTAGGGTTCTGTTTTAAAGATTCAAACGAAGTGTGACCCATTTAGTAATATGTCTATATTTTTAAAAATATAGACTGTTTTCGTAAGTTATTTTCAAAAGTATTGGTCTGTTCTTGATTTTAGGGTTGGCTAAAGCTTTTATACTATGTTAATTAATTGTAATGGGGGCTAACATTTGTTGTGCCAGGCAGTTATCTTGTTAAGTCCCAACCACATCCTGAAGCAGGTACTATATTATTTGTAATTATCGATAGAGAAGCTAAAGCTTGAGAATTTGAGGCGTTTGACCAATATTATATAACAAATAACTTTGGAGTTGGTCAGCTTGACTCTAGAACCCAGGGTTTGGGTTCTGTGTTATGTCATCTACAAAGTGCCAAAATAAGAAATGACTTCCATTTTAGTGAATATGAAGATGAGCTTTCAAAGATGCCTAAGTGGAAGCAGATGATGTAACCTACAAAGGATCAGAGCAATTACAGTTTCACTGTGATGTGAATTTCAGTCTTCTTGAAGCACTTTTGAATAAAAAACGAAAAACAAAGACTTTTGCATTTCTGGAGCTAAGGACTGTTGTTCCTAGAGGCGCTGTGCTTAGCTTGGCGTTGGCTGGCTGATTGCCAGGTGTGCTGCTGCTACACTCAATTTCTGTCACGGAGGTTTATTTATTTAGTGGTTCAATGAGAGCAAATCAGGGCACCCTAGCATGTGAGGTTTTATCCTCTCTGTAAATTACTGATTTTTATTTGTAAAGAAATTAAAAAATGAGTTTTTAATGTATATTGAGTTTTTATTACATTTAACAGGTTTTCATGATTCCTGTTATCTGTCATTGTTTGTTGACATGTTTTTAGCGATATACATTTTACAGCATTTTAATTTTCATGGGAATTTATTTCCTATATTAAAATTCTACCTGTGAATAAATTTTTAAAGAATGACTTTAAAAAAGTTGTAATTGTGATGGGTAAATGTGGCTCTTTAGGATCATAGCATTGCTAGGTGTTACTCAGATTTTGGGGCTTTGATCTGTTAGGGAAAGTAGTTAATAATACCATGTGCAGAGTTATTGAGAGCTATGTGTGTTGAGCAAGGGAAGGCCCACCACAGGAGCCTGGAATGCATCTTATTGCCTTTTTAAGGGCAGGGTGGGGTGAAAACTTTCTCTATCAATACATTTTTTTCCACAACCTTAAAAAATGGGCAATTTGTGAAGATGAAGTAATAATCCTTATAGTCTGATTATATAGCCACTGGAAATTGCTAGTATATTTTTAGTTTTAGTCCTGTTTTCAGTCTGTAGTCGAATTTCTTAAAAATGATATTCTGTCCTGCTGTGGTGTTGTATGCCTTTAATCCCAGCATTTGGGAGGCAGAGGCAGATGAGTCTCTGAGTTCCAGGCTAGGCTGGTCTCATAGTGAGTCAGGCCAGTCAAGTTCAGGCCAGTCAAGTGACTCCCTATCTCAAAAAATAAATAAATAAATAAATAAATAAATAAATAAATAAAAAATCTGAATAGCACCTTTTCCCAGTGCTGTTTCTTTTTCTTTCTACTTTTTTTCTCCTTTTTTTCGATTTTATTTTTAGGCAGGTACTTCTTATTTTTCCCCCCTTTGGGCTCTCAAGACATTCATGGCCTGTTTCCTTCTCAGGCAAGCAACCTAAGGTTTTGGGTTTAGGTGTGTAGTTGCCTAGTAGGAGATGGCCAACAGAATTTGCCTCAAATGCATGTGTCAGGATGCATTTGATGATGCAAGTAATACTTTCTGTGTTACTCTGCTTTCGGGTCCTGCGTGTGACGAGCAGCGCTGTTTTGAAGAGCATTGAAGGGAAGTGTGGGTTAGAATATGCTTGTTCTTCTGAAGCGTTTTTTCACTTATGACGCTTGGTGAATGAATAAATTGAGTGTAAACATTTCTATTTTGTTTTCTGATTCCGCAGTCCATGCTGTAACGCTGTTCCTAAATATCTTCGGCTGCTTGGCTTGGTTTTGTGTTGACTCTACAAGAGCAGTTGACTTTGGATTGAGTATCCTGTGGTTCTTACTCTTTACTCCTTGTTCATTTGTCTGTTGGTACAGACCGCTTTATGGAGCTTTCAGGTAAAACGTGTGTACTTTAAAATGTATACCTTAAAACCTGTGACATGTGCTGGTACGATGGCTTACTCCTGTGATCCCCAAAGGGTGAGGTAAGCCAGCTGGGCTATATAGTGAGTACCTGGTCAGGGTTACAAAGCAAGACCCTGTCACAAACAAACAAACAAACAAACAAACAAACAGACAGACACAAAGTAAGACCCTGTTACACAACAAGCATTTAAAAAACCCTGTGAGATGAGTAATCTGTAGTGTACCCAAAAGAGGAAGCTGACATATTTTCATTAAAGAATTTTTATTATCATGGCCAGTGAGATAGCTCAGTGGGTAAAGGCGCTCACTGCCAAGCCTGATGACCTGGGTTTGATCCCCAGGTCCCACATGGTAAAATGAGGGAGCTAGCTCCTGAAGATTATCCTCTGACCTTCATATGTGTTCCATGGCACGTACCCCCCCTCCCCCCCACAATAAAATAATGTTGGGGCTATAGAGATGGCTCGGTGGATAAGAGCATTTGATGCTTTTGCAAAGGACCTGGTTAAGCTTCTAGCACCCACATGTCAGCTCACAACCATGTGTAACTCCAGTTCTAGGAAAGCTGATGCTGTCTTCTGGCCTCCCTGGGCAAAAGGCATGTACATGGTATACAAATATACATACAGGTAAAACACTCATACACATAAAAGAAAGAAAAAATTTAAAAATGAGTAAATGTAATGAGGTAAATTTTTATCATAAAACATACCTTTAAAAAGTGTAGTGTATCTTACATGTATATCCACTAGATCATAAAATTCATAAACATTGCTCCACTTAAAAAGGATGAAAATTAAGGAAAATTAAGAATCTTCTTGGATGCTAGTATATGTAAAATATTCTATACATACAATATACTCAACTTTAAGAAAAACTTTACTTTTTACCTTTCTCTCCCCTGTATCTCTAGAATCATGAAATTGTAATCAGTGATTACAGCCTAGATTTTCAAATAAACCTATATATATAAATACATATAAAATATTTGACCCAGCAGTTTGGTAATTTGTTCCTGTGTAAATTCACTTTCAGCTTTTCAGTTGAGAACGGCATTTTAAGAATCATTTAATCTATAAATGAAGTATAATGCTTTGCGCAGTATTAATCTGTAGTTAAATGTAAACCAGGTAATGCATTTCCTAAATGAATGTTTGGGGGGTGGTGGGGTTTGGTTCCTTAGCTTAGTAAGTTTTAGAATAGCTAGTTAACAAAGCTAAGCAAGCTTCTTCATTTCTTAATTCATAGACTCTTAAGTGTGCCTTGTAACTAGACCTTGTAACATGAAATCATTATTTTTTTGTGGAGCCCCTTGCTGTGACTGTTGCTTTCAGAAATGAACACTGCAGATAGGTCGGATGGTGCACACCTGTCATCCCAGGTACTCGGGAAGCTGAGTGGGCAGCATCCCTGAGCCCAGTAGTTTTGGATTACTATGTGCTGTAGAGTGAAACTCTGTCTCATTGAAAGAAACTGCAAAATACTGATGTGGCTGATAGTTCTGTATGGGTCTTTATATTCAGTAGTATATCAGCTCGTTTTAATTTGAGTAAATTCATTTATAAACATTAACTCTCAAGAATGAAACCTTATTAGGCTATAGGTGTGTGATGTTTAAATGATATGTTAAGGAAATTAGCAGGCTACACTCAATCATTCAATATTTTTTTCCTTTTCAACCTAAAATCTCCTTTAATTTGTCAGAATGTGGCCTGATATAGTGGCATACACCTTTAATCCTAGCACTTGGGAGACAAAGGCAGGCAGATCTCTGTGAGTTCAAGGCTAACTTAGTTTGCATTGTAGATTCCAGGCCAACCAGGGCTACATAGTGAGACTATGTCTTAAAACAAACAAACAAACCAGAACTTATATTGTATTGTACAAGAGAGAAGACAGGCAAGGGAAAGAATGAGGGAATGAGACTCCTAGCCTTGATATGTAAATGCATTTGGGGATTCACAAGAAAGAAAGGAGAACATTAGGGACTTTGGAAGGAAAAACATCTGAGCAACAGAAAAGTAAATTACTGGCCAGAAATGAAATTAACAGAAGAAATGATGGAAGAACAGGTTGTGGGAAAGGAACATTTTTGATATATTCTTTGGATATAGTGAAATATGAGAGATTGGTTGTCAGGAATGGGGAGAAAGTCCCATAGATGAGGGCTAGAGAGGAATGAAGGACCCTTCTTCCCCCTTGCAGGATTTAGGAAGGCTATTGCTGTCTTGTTCCTCATTATGTAAGTCTGGCTTGCAAGGCTGTTAAATTTTCAACATCTCAACTCTGCATGCATGCTTCCATCACATTACCAATATCTTCTCCGTAATGATGCTGGCAAGCCACTATTGGAATATCTTTTTGAGATTATAGACTTTGGAATTTAAACCATATATAACTCAAGTAACCAACAAAACAAAACAAAACAAACAAACCAACCCTACTAAGATAGCTGTCAACCTTTTATTACCTTAAAGTTACTTGTTACCTCCCCCTCCCCTTTTTTTTCAGTTGAGAAAATAGTGCTTTGCTCTTTACATGCCTCTGGCCTTACCATTCTGTAGGCTACATTCTTATATCCTCAGGTCAACTTTTTGGAGAGTATTATGAATTTATTTAGACGTCACTGTGCACAGCAGTACTGAATAAAGTTTTTTTGGTAAAATTGAATTAAAGTTAAGACATTAATGTGCCTTATGTGTAACTTTAGCCTTTCCTTTTACTGCTATATGCATTGGACTTTATCCTCCATAAAGTAATCCCAGGTATAAATCTGAAGATTATATAAAAGTTTCAAGTGTGCTTTTAAAAGCTGTTTATTAGGTATCAAAATTAAGTATCATGTTATTTTATTATTAGCATGTTTTTAAAAGATTGTAATTTTATTCTTAACTTTGTGCTCCCACAAATCACTAAGCATTATGCAAACACTTCAACATAATAGGTATTGGTTAGTGAAAGCACTGATTTTTGAAAAGGCATATCTTTTGGAAACAGACCGAGGTATGTGGTTCTTGTCAAAGACAGTGAAACCTTTTAGAACCTCAGTTTCTTATTTGGATGCTGCAAATAATATTTGTAGAGTTGCTAGAATTTGAGAAAATACATGTAAAAGGTTTGTTATCCTAGAGGGTCAGTAAATGATAGTAGGATTTTTTTGGTTTGTTTTTCTGATAATTTTTATCATTTACTTCTGATAGGTGAATTGTACTTCTCTCTATCTTATGCTTCTTTTAGTCCCTTGTCTTTTTATACTCCAGTATGAGCTAATAGGAAATGATAATTTACCATGAAATGTTCCCTATATTGCTAGATAAACTTTAAAATTGTAATATAGTACTCTAGTAATTTAGAGGTTTTTCTGTATTTAATGTAAATTATTGATAGATATGAACTCAATTTACTATCTTACTATTTATATTATATAAAACTTTTCATGTTAGTTTTTCTTGCCTTTTAGATGAATAAGGTATTCATTTTCATATATCCTTTTTTAATATTTTCTTTTTTTTGTTTGGGACAGTTCCCCTGGTAATGAATTCCCTCGGTTTTTGCTTGACTGAAAACATAGCCATTTCATGCTTATTTTTTGAAGTTTATTTCAATGACATCAACTCTGTTGCCAATTAATTTCTTTTAAGATGGATTCCATTCCATTGTTTCCTGACTTTCATCATTTCAACTGAGAAATCAGTTGTGAGCCTTGATGGTGTTTTTGAAAAGAAGCATCTTCTACCATAGGCTGTCTATGGTTTTCAGTGATTTTCTTCATTTTCACCTCACTTGGAGTTTGTGGAGCATCTTTAATTTATAAATCGAAGCTTTTTGAGCAGCTTGAAAAGTGCTTGGTGCTGTTCCTCCAAACTCCTCTCTCTCTCTCTTCCTGGTAGATTCTGGTCCCCCCACTTCACTGCACGTCCTCCCAGCTTTCCATTATTTCTCCATTCAGATTTCACTTTAAGTATTTTCTATTTACCCATCTTCCATCTCACCAGTCCCATCTTTGTAGGTGTTGTGCACAGCTAAACTCATCTTCAATTTTTACTCTGAGTAGTTTCTTTCAGTTTTAAAATGTGCTGCTTGAATGTTTTATTCCCTGGAAAAATTCTATTAATATTTTTGTAAACATACCAGTGTCTAGATCACTTGAAGGTCTGTCTGTACTGTATATTTTTGGTTTTGTTTTCAATCATATGTTGTTATCACTTAGCATATGTAACAGGTACTGATTAGACTTGGCAACTGTAAGCAGAAATGTATACAGGCTTATTTTAAGGAGTTAACCTGTTGCCCTGGTTGTTGACTAGCAGGCAAAAGTCAGGGGCCAGGTTAAGATTGAGCTGTAGTTGTTTTTAATTTCTACCACTTTACATTCCTACTAGTCATGTCTAGGGGCCTCAGTTTCTCTACATTCTCACTAATTTTTTTATCTTTTGTCTTTCTATCCTAGATTTGATTTGCTTTTTCCTATTTACTGATAATGTTGAGTATTTTTTGTTTTTATTTGCTTACAAGTCTCATA